TAAAACTTCTCTACGTGATGTGACAGAAGTAGTTTATCTATGGTGTTGTTGTATGTAGAGTTCACGTATTTAAAACTTCGCTACGTGATGTGACAGAAGTAGTTTATCTATGGTGTTGTTGTATGTAGAGTTCACGTATTTAAAACTTCGTTACGTGATGTGACAGAAGTAGTTTATCTATGGTGTTGTTGTATGTAAAGTTTACATATTTAAAACTTCGCTACATGATGTGACAGAAGTAGTTTATCTATGGTGTTGTTGTATGTAGAGTTCACGTATTTAAAACTTCTCTACGTGATGTGACAGAAGTAATTTATCTATGGTGTTGTTGTATGTAGAGTTCACGTATTTAAAACTTCGTTACGTGTTGTGAAACTAATATATCTATGGTGTTGTTGTATGTAGAGTTCACGTATTCAAAACTTCGCTACGTGATGTGACAGAAGTAGTTTATCTATGGTGTTGTTGTATGTAGAGTTCACGTATTTAAAACTACAGTACGTGATATGAAACTAATATATCTATGGTGTTGTTGTATGTAGAGTTCATGTATTTAAAACTACAGTACGTGATATGAAACTAATATATCTATGGTGTTGTTGTATGTAGAGTTCATGTATTTAAAACTACAGTACGTGATATGAAACTAATATATCTATGGTGTTGTTGTATGTATAGTTCATGTATTTAAAACTACAGTACGTGATATGAAACTAATATATCTATGGTGTTGTTGTATGTAGAGTTCACGTATTTAAAACTACAGTACGTGATGTGAAACTAATATATCTATGGTGTTGTTGTATTTAAAGTTTACATATTTAAAACTTCGCTACGTGATGTGACAGAAGTAATTTATCTATGGTGTTGTTGTATGTAGAGTTCACGTATTTAAAACTTCGTTACGTGATGTGAAACTAATATATCTATGGTGTTGTTGTATGTAGAGTTCACATATTTAAAACTACAGTACGTGATATGAAACTAATATATCTCTTGTATTTTTGTAGCTAGAGTTCACGTAATTGAAACTGTGTTAATTGATTAGAGACGTACTTTATTTCTTGTTTTGTAAATAAAGTTCAAGTATTTAAAACTGTGCTATTAGATGTCATACAAGTTATTAATCACTGTTGAACGTTTCGTTGTGCTTTAAGTTTCTTTGTATTGTTTGTCTTCAGGTTTTCCCTGGGATGAACAGAGAGTGTTGACTGTCATGATCACCGATAACGGTTCGAACCAGAACAATGTAGATGTAGAACAAGAGTCCACCGACCTCGCTATGAAGTGTCTGGTGGGTGTCTTCTTAACACTTATCATTTTCTTCTCTATCACCGGTAATATTCTCGTCTGTCTGGCTATCTACAGTGACAGGCACCTCCGTAAGATCGGAAACATTTTCCTCGCATCTCTTGCCGTGGCTGACTTGTTTGTTGCATCACTCGTAATGACATTTGCTGTCGCTAATGACCTGATGGGCTATTGGGTGTTCGGTTCTCAGTTCTGCGACACGTGGGTGGCGTTTGATGTCATGTGTTGTACGGCTTCAATCTTGAATCTATGTGCTATCAGTCTAGACCGGTTCATTCATATTAAGGACCCACTTCGTTACGGAAGATGGCTGACTAAACGAGTCGTCCTCGTCTCCATCTGCGCGATTTGGCTCTTGTCAGGCCTGGTATCCTTTCTGCCCATCAGTTTAGGGTGGCACAGGCCCAAGAAGGCTGAAATAACCCAAGAAGAGAGAGAGCGACCCATGTGCGCGATGGAACTGACTCCTGTCTATGCCGTGGTATCTTCTGCGATCAGTTTCTACGTTCCTTGCGTTGTCATGGTGGCGCTCTACACGAGACTTTACTTATACGCGAAAAAACACGTGAGGAGTATCCGCGCTATAACTAAACCTTCACAGAATTCATCAGGTTCAAGGCCCCACAAAAACGTGAGGTCAGTCAGTCAAGGATCCCATCATATGATGGACCACAAGGCTGCCATCACGTTAGGGATAATTATGGGTGTGTTTCTAGTCTGTTGGGTCCCGTTCTTTTGCGTGAATATCATAGCCGCGTTTTGTAAGACGTGTATCTCGGATCAAGTGTGGAAATGCTTGACGTGGTTAGGCTACTTTAATTCGACCATGAATCCCGTGATTTACAGTATCTTCAACACGGAATTCCGAGAAGCTTTTCGGAAGATCCTCTTCTCCCACATCAAGGGGGAGTGTTGTGGTGCTTCTGACACTGCTATTCAAATAATCCAGTTCGATCGGAAAACTGTTTCATTGCAGCCAGTGACGTCACGAATCGAGATTAAATGTGAGGACACGGGGAAAGTTAGTGAAATATAAGTGAAATTATTGTTCTTCATAATCTATACATTCCAATTTTCAAGTACTGTATTAGTAGGGTCGTGTCTATAAGATAATGTAAATAGCTGTTAGTCTATAGAATTCAATAAATCCGTGCAAAAAATATTTTGAATTTGTATTTCTGCTTTAGTTTTTGTTCGATGTTAAATCGGGAAATCTAAAAAAAAAAATCAGTTGAGTGAATTGAATTTCCAGAGTTCACAAATCGCCCAAGTAGTTTTTCAAACGAATAAAATTAGTAGCAATTATATGAAGACTGTAAACATATTAAGTTTTTTTCTTTCTCAACTGTTGTTGTAAGAACGTATCTGATTAGTCCTGATGCTGAGAGGG